TTCCTCAACACACACATATAAGCAAGAGATGATTCTTGTCAAGACTTACAAAATCATATACTGTAACAGTTTTTATGTTTTTACTGTCATGTTTATTATCATTTTATCAGTATTGTTTGCATTTTGTTCATTTTGTGTCATGATAATCTTAGCTCAGTTCTGTTTTGATCTTATTAGCATATTCTTTCCTGTTCTGTTTATAGTTATCGCAAGGGTACTTCTACCAAACAACGTTCCTACAAGAACCTTCCTCCTTTCGGATCATTGTATGGAATTGAAAAGACTGGGGTGCTTGCAGTTGGGGATCCAGTATATGAGATGATCTAGTGATGGAGATAATTTGTGCAATGAAAGGTACTCATTCAAAAGTGCAAATGGATTTTTCACACATTTTGAAAAAGAACTTTACCAGATTTATCACTAAATGTGCCAATTCCGATCTTCATAGTTATGACATCTGCTCAGTTTTTTTTCTTCATATATGGGGACAATTTAATGTATTGAGTGATACTGAGGAACTAAGAGATTAGCCAATCAGAAAATGTGTCATTTGAACCTGGCAGACTATTTTGAAGCTGAATTACTGAGAGAGAGGATAAATTGCAACCAGTTATTCTGTGACTAGATGACAGTCATAAAGGTGCTGTTTGAAGGGAAATCTAGTAACAATTTTTCATATTCCTGCAGAATTCGTAGTCCTTTCAGATCTGTAAACACAAACTTCTGACATTTTTAAAAAATGCAAATATTTTAAATTAAATATTTTTCTAAGAGTTTAGTTTTAACATTTATAAAGTTTTGGGTACAACTACTTGAAGATTTCTGTCAATATGTTTTCTTGTTTAATTTTCAACCAAAGAAGGTATGTTCTTTACTATCAATGTGTATGATTAAATAAAGTGTGATTTGGGTATTTTAAAAAGATGATGCTGGGGGAAATGGAAAGGAAAATGGAAGGAAAAAGGAAAGAGCACCGACCAAGGGCAATATGGGTGGATGGCATCCTTGAAGTGACTGGACTGACCTTGACGGAGCTGGGGGTGGTGACGGCCGACAGGGAGCTCTGGTGTGGGCTGGTCCATGAGGTCACGAAGAGTCGGAAACGACTGAATGAATGAACAACAACAACATATAACGGTATCAAAGTATTCTGTGTTTTAGAATTCCAGGTAGGGAAGAGGTGTTTGGAATTGTGTGAGTTGAAGCCCAAAACACCTGGAGGGCTGAAGTTTTCCCAGGCCTGGTAGAAATAATAATAATAATAATAATAATAATAATAATAATAATAATAATTGTCCTAGACACTTGGGAAGTGTCCAACGTGTGATCTAATTCAACAGCCAGCAGAGTGTCTGCTGTGGACTCATCTTGTTGTGTTTGAAACAATAATAACAATAACAATAATAATAATAATAATATAACTTTATTTTTATACCTTGCCTCAATCTCCCCAAGGGGATTCAGGGCGCCTTACATGGGGACAAGCCCGAACAGCATAATAAAACAGCACATTTTAATATATAATCAAAACATAAAACAAAATAAAACAACATTAGACAAAATATAAAAACCAAAACATGTATCTTGCCTCACGAAAGCCAGCACCCTGAGCCTGCAAGGTCTGAGCAGGGCTGTTCATAGCTTCCTAAACTTGGAAGGGCTATCCGGTCTTAACCTCATTGTTGCCATGCAGGAAGAAGAAATAGGAGCACTCCCGACAGATGCCCACCCACATGTCTGTAGCCAGGATTTCAATTCGGGGGGGGGGGAGGGGGGGCTGAGTCTGAGTGAAAGAGGGTCTACCCTAGCAAACCTTTTGTATCGTTACCCCAATACCCCCATGCATATGGGATATATTGAGTATGGTGACCAGATCATGATATGAATAAACATAACAGTTTAAATAATGCACCAGTAAGGCCTTTTCGCGAACCACCATGAGAATTTCGGGGGGGGGGGGGCTGAAGCCCCTCAAGCCCCCCCCCCCCAATGCTAATCAAGGTAATCAGTTGCAGCATTCACACTTGCCTCAAACAAACAGTTCTTTCTCCCACCCTGGACATCATTCCACAGATACATAAACCCCACTTGCCTAGTTTCCAACAGACCTCACAACCTCTGAGGATGCCTGCCATAGATGCAGGCGAAACGTCCGGAGAGAATGCTTCTGCAACATGGCCATACAGCCCGATGGAGCAGGGTTGCTGAGGACAAGGTGGCTTCGAGGTCTACTATTTTAGGGGTCGCTTTAAATCGAGGACGAAGGCGGGGCCCTCAATGACAAATAGAAGGAGCGAATGGAGAAGGGAGGCTGCAACGGAGCAGCAGGAGGCCGGCTCTGGGCAGCTGAAGCCCGCCTCCCGTGGGCTCTGGATCCGGAGAGCGTTCTGGGCCATGGCGTGGGGTCCGCTCTCCCTCCGCGCCCCCTTCTCCTCCTCCTCGCGCCTGGCGTGGCTGTGCGGGGCCGGGCTGGCGCTGGGGGCCGTGGGGGCCTGGGCGGCGTGGCGCTGGCGGGGCGGGCGAAGGCGGCGGCGCGAGCTGGAGCGCGTGGGCACCGTCACGGGGGTGACCCTCTACCCGGTCAAGTCCTGCCGCGGAGTCAACCTGCAGCGCGCCCAGGTCACCCCGCTAGGCCTCCAGAGTGGGGACTTGCGTGACAGGTATCCACAGCGGGGCTGAGCTGAGCTTTGACGTCATCGCGGAAGGAGGAAGGCTTGCTTGGGAGTGGGAGTGGGAGTGGGGGGGGGGAGCACCTGTATACCCTACCAGAGAGTGCAAACTACAACTCCCTGGATCCCATAACTCACCGAGGCCAACTTGGGCCCTCCCTCCATGTGTTTGGACTTCAACTCCCACATTCCTAACAGCCTACCGGCTGTTAGGAATTGTGGGAGTTGAAGTCCAAAACACCTGGAGGGAGGGCCCAAGTTGGCCCATGCCTGGCATCCAGGGAGTTGTAGTTTGCCCTCTCTGGCAGAGAAGGGTAAAGGCCTTGTGAAACTATAACTCCCACAATTTCATCATTAAGCCCTGGCAGTTCAAGCGAGGCCAAGCTGCATTGATTCTAGGCTGTAGACTAGGCACTCTTTGTATTTTTGTTTTTGCACAACAAGAGAAGAGAGGGGGGCTCCACGTGTCTTGCCTCCCTCCGGTTACATAACCACTGCTTTGAGTGGGAGAAAGGCAGCAGAGATTCACGTGGCTTCATTGCTGCCAGGCCTCCACTTCTGTGGACTTCACCTCCTTTCCTGCCCTTTGTTCCTTGGCACTGTTTCTGCCCAAGACATTAAAGGTACCTCTACACCAGGCATGGGCAAACCTCGGCCCTTCCGGTGTTTTGGACTTCAACTCCCAGAAATCCCAGTCAGTTTACTGGCTTTTAGGAATTGTGGGAGTTGAAGTCCAAAACATCTGGAGGGAAGGCCGAAGATTGCCCATGGATACAGTTTACACACTGTAGAATGAATGCAGTTTGACATTGCCTTGGCTCAATGCTATGGAGTTCTAGTTCTAGTTCAGCAGGCCTTGGCAGAGAAGGCTCAACGCCTTGAAAATCCCATGGTTCAATCTATAGCATTGAGCCATGGCAGTCAAAGTGGTGTCAAACTGCATTCCTTCTACAGTGAAGATGCATCCTGCAGAATTCTGAGGTTTGTAGTTTAGTGACGCTGTTAAAGACTCCTCCCTAAACTACAAACCCCAGAATTCTGCATGAGGCAGAAACCGGATTTTAAGTGGATGTTTTCTATAGTGTAGTGAAGGAATAGTCACCACAGGGGGTTGGTGCTCATCTCCATTTCTAAGTCGAAGAGCCGGCATTGTCCATAGGCACCTCCAAGGTCATGTGTCCAGCATGACTGCATGAAGCGCTGTTACCTTCCCACTGAAGCTGTACTTATTGATCTAGTCACATTTGCATGTTTTCGAACTGCTAGGTTGGCAGAAGCTGGGGCTAACACCGGAAGCTCACACCACTCCCCAGATTCGAACTCAGCTTTTAACTGATTGAGACAAGACTTTCATTTGAATAAACCGATTAATATTCCAGAACAAGAATCCAAGAAACCATAGTTACCTATTTGTATTTATTTTCATGCACACCAACACTAATAGGGACAGTCATTTTTTTTAAAAAAAGTAGTACATTCAATTAGATACTGCAAGTCGCTTCTGGCAAAAACAGAAGAATGGAGGGGTAGAAATGTTGTAAATAAATAAATAAATGATAAATAGTGTCAAACATAATTCTCCAATGTAGATCTACTCTCAAACTATCTCATATGGGTAGATACATCCTTTCTTATTCTTTCAGAGCAATGAAAAGGACAACCACATACTTTCATAAATTACTACAGAAAAAATCCATTTTTTTTTTAAAAAAAGAAAGTACAATTGAATTCCACAAAAGCACAACCTGTGACTTAAGTAATAATGAAACTCTTTTGTGTGGGGAACACATTGTATGGCGCAGCTAGTTAGCAGTCAGCTGCATTTAATCACTACTGACTGAAAGGACATGTGTTCGAAGGCAGCCCGGGTTGGAGTGAGCTCCCGACCATTAATAATCTATGCAGCCCGAAAGACAGTTGCATCTATCAAGTAGGAAATTTAGGTACCACTTTATGTGGGGAGGCTAATTTAGCTAATTTACAACACCATAAAACCTTCTAGCAACATGTGGAAGAATGAGGAAGTACTCCATCAAAGGACTAGTCACAAGTGGACAATGAAGTGGCAGCTCCCCCTGTAGCCAGAATCGAGCATGCCCTCATGAAGCCAGAAAAGCTGGAATGTTTAATTACCTCTTTGTCTGTCTATATATTTTGTATGGCTAAATGGCATTGAATGTTTGCCATGTATATGTGAATTGTAATCCACCCTGAGTCCCCTTTGGGGTAGAAAATAAATACTGTAAATAAATAAGGGCAGAATATAAATACTGTAAACAAATAAATAAATAAATAAATAAATAAATAAATAAATATTGAGACTGTAAATGTTACATTTCCTTTTATCATGGGCACTTTGCAATCCAGATTCTTACTTCTGGAAGTATATAAGGTTTCCCATTTTCATGGGACGTTGCTCTTTCAGCTGCAACAATTGCAGCAGAGAATTCATAGTTATAACACGGTGTTATTTATGTTAAAGATTTATATCACACTTTTCCATTGCAAAATTAAGTCAGCTAAACTACTTTTATTTGTTTATTTAAAAGTTCTGGCTGGGCAGGGTTGAGAGGGAAGAGGCCGAGTCAGACGGCCCTTTGTGAAGTTGGAGAGCCTTCTAAGACATCAAAGGAAAATATCCCATTAATCCAGCGATGCTCGGGCTTGGGACCACAGGATTCCAGCTGAAAATGTTTGCCTGAAAATATTGAACTCGTGACTTGTGAGGAATTGAAGCCTAAAAGATTAACTTGCCACCCTGTGTTTAACTCTAGGTTTTGGCTGGTGATTAAGGAAGATGGACACATGATCACAGCTCGACAGGAACCTCGACTGGTTTTGGTTACTGTTAATTCCGAAAATGGCCAGTTAATCCTGAATGCCCCAGATATGAAGGAACTGGCCATCCCTGTCAAGACTCCTAAGGAAAATCCAGTAAAGAATTGCAGGTCTATTTCTATCTGTATTATGCAAAATGCTATTTTCTGCACTACTGGACTTTATGCCTTTCTCTTTTCAAAATGATAAATATAAGGAAACACCTCTTGGGCACTAGAACTTTGTTGTTTGCAGATTGACACCTCCAAATGTTTGCAGCAATATGTTTCGAAGACCCAATTAAAGAGGGAAACTGTTTTGTGTTAACAAGTGTTTTAAGGTTTGTGTTGTCGAAGGCTTTCATGGGCAGAATGACTGGGTTGCTGTGAGTTTTCTGGCTGTAGCACCATGGTCTCAGAAACAGAGGACAAGAAACAATCAGGGCCAGCTAATCACCTCCCAACAAAGGATTCCCCCAGGCAGGAAACTGCCAAGAATTGAAGCTGCAAGGCTATTCAGTGCTAATCAAGGTGATCAATTGCAACATTCACACTTGCCTCAAACTGACAAAAGTTATTTCTCCCACCCTGGACATTACACAAATATATTAACAGTGTGAGCTCACCCCACTCCTCGGATTTGAACCGGCAACCTTTTGGTCAGCAAGTTCAGCAACTCAGCGGTTTAACCCGCTATGCCACCAGAGGGCCTTGTGAAAAATAGGCCCACCTTATTTATGATGCTACCTGAATTTAATATTTTACTGCCTTTTCATGGGTTTTACTGTTATGAGAAGGGGGCACGCAGGAGGATAGGTGAGACTTCACCTGCATGCACGCCTCTCCCCTCAGAGTTACAAACTTGCCTTGGCTGGTGGGTGGACAGATTCACATACCCGATTGTCTCCCCACTCCAAGCAGATGAGGCTTTGCCTATCTGCAAAACTGTGTCCTTGGAGCTAGGGGCCTTGCCTTGGCTGGCAGGAGGGTGAACTTGCCCCCCTGTCAGCCTTTCCATTCCAAGCTGCAGTGGCTCTGCAGCCTGGAAGGAAAAGACTGGTGAGAAGGTTTCTCTGGCTGGCAGCCGAGGGAACTCATGTAGCACCAAAGTTTGCTTCACTTGGCCATGCACCTACAACCCTTTTTCACCACATAATAGTCGCAGCTCTCTCTTTTGAAGTGGTAAAAAGATGTGACTGCTATGTGCTGAAATACGGCATTCAAAAGAAACCATCCTCAAAATAGAATCAGTCTTCCAGCTGGTTGGCTGGGGCAGCAAAGTGATGCAGGAGAAGAGAAGAGGAAAAGTAAGAATAGTCTCCTCCTTTTCCCTTTCCCATCTTTCCAGTGCCACTCCATGTGCTGGCTTTAGCCTTTAAAGCCCTAATCGGTTCTGGCCCAGCTTACCTGTCTGAATGCATCTCTCCCTATGAACCATCTAGGTCTCTAAGATCGTCTGGGGAGGCCCTGCTCTCAGTCATGCTTTCGCAGAGCGACTGGCAGAAACGAGAAACAGGGACTTCTCAGTGGTGGCTCCTTGGCTATGGAACGCCCTCCCTAAGAGTTAAAACCTGCCTTTTTGAGCAAGCATTTGCAGATGCAGTATAACAGGCTAATTTAGATCCATTGAACAATTGGACGATGCACCTGGAAAATGATTTCAACAATGAGACGTTGAGGACTTGTGTTTTATTGTTTTTATTGTCTCTGTTGTTTTTATATGGTTTATATTATATGTTAATGTTTTAATTATATTTCATGTTGTTGAGGGCATTGAATTTTGCCAATTGTAAATCGCTTTGAGTTGCCTCTGCGCTGAGAAAGGCGGTATACAAATATGGTAAATAAATAAATAAACAGTGGCCACCAGCCATTTTGCATTTAGTGGTCACCACTACAAAACAAACAGGACTGGGATAGTAAGTGCCATCCCATGTCCCTGAGTCACCAAAACCCTAGAAATATGGGATGACCATGAAAATAGTTGTGACCGGTTATGTATCGGATTTGGTTCAATAGTTTACATGGGCGCAGAATTAAGGTTTGCTCCTGAGTTTCACAAAAACCCACAACTTTTATTAAAGTAGTTCAATACTGTATTAACCCAAATCAGCTCTGTGCATCATGTAGCCACCATAGAGCTGATTCGCCCCTTTGAGATTCAGTGTCTGTACCCTAGATCTAATCCATCAGATGAAGCTGATCAAATATATCTAGTCTATGGGTCCTTCCAGAGAGGCCCTATATCCCAGGATCTGATCCCATGTTTTCTCTTCATCCCAGATTATCTGTCAGTGCAGACTCATATAATCCAGTTTAAAGCAGAAAACCTGGGATCAGATCCTGGGATATAGGGCCTGTCTGGAAGGGCCCTATGAAAGCTTATGCTACAAATCTCTTCCAGTGATTCTGAAAGGAGCTACAAGTTTCTTTTGTATAGTTACATATTGACTTTTTTACATTGTTGTAAATAGCCAGGATTTTATTCTGGACCTAATAATGTAAGATCAGACCAAATTATTCTTTTAGTATGTAACTCCTTGATTTCTTTTGTAACTTTCAACAGGGTTTTTGGGCTTGATATTGAAGGGCGGGACTGCGGTGATGAGGTGGCTCATTGGCTCACCACGTTCCTGAAATCAGAAACATATCGACTCGTTCATTTTGAAACCCAAATGGCTCCGAGAAAATGTGAAAAGATTAAAACACCTTTTCGGCCTACTGATGAGGTTTGACAACTCTTTTTAAAAAGTGACTGTTGATCTTTGGCTGTCTTGACATTAAAAAACTTTATAATAATATAATAATTCTGATAAATATACTAATTATATTTATATATATGCAGGTTGTTTAAGCAAGAGAAGAGCTGCCAGATCAGCTGAAAAATATATTTGTTTTATTCTTCTGCTTCATGCAGTAGCAATAATAGCTCTTATTCTTTCCAGCCACTGATGTTCATTGATACATTGCTTCAGATGCTGGAAATAGCATATAGCTATCATGGCAGTGATTTAAAGGTCTGGAACAGAGTTGTTGCTTTTCATTCGTTCAGTTGCTTCCGACTCTTTGTGACCTCATGGACCAGCCCACGCCAGAGCTCCCTGTCAGCCGTCACCACCCCCAGCTCCTTCAAGGTCAAACCAGTCACTTCAAGGATACCATCCATCCATCTTGCCCTTGGTCAGCCCCTCTTCCCTTTTCCTTCCACTTTCCCCAGCATAATTGTCTTCTCTAAGCTTTCCTGTCTTCTCATTAGTGTGTGTGTGTGTGTGTGTGTATATATATACACACACACACACTTTAGGGACAGTCCTCTCTGTAATTTCACTGCAAAAAAGAATGTAGCCACTCAAGTGCCAGTCAATCTAGGATTAAGTGGCTGGTGTAGACACAGCCCTAATCTGATTTTTACAGATGCAGAATCTAGGATGGAGCTATTTGATTCTTGGCCATATTTCTGTATTTTTGCAACTTAGGTTCCCTACAGTGATGCTGCTCCAGTTTTACTGATCTCAGAGGCATCGATGGAAGATCTAAATACCAGATTGGAGAAGAAACGGGATTTGCGGTATTTTAGACCAAGCATTACTGTTTCAGGCTGTGGTGCTTATGAAGAGGTAGGTGACCTTTTACTGTTTTGTGCTGTTCATAAACCAATTTACCATTGAACTCTAATCTTGGTGGGGGTCGCATCACTATTGTGGGATATGTTAACACATCAACTTGGTGCTGGTGTCTAAAAAAACAATTTATTTCCCAAAGTTATCTCTTTGGATGATGTTGGAAAGGCATTTGAGTTATAAAAGAGAGCCTATATTATTTCAGGATGTAGTAAATCAACAATATCTTACATTTCTAAAGTTCACAATATGTGCAATCAATGTTACTTCTGATTCCTTAAGATGCAATCACAAAAAGTAAAGAGGGATTTAATAGATTATGAGTGTTGGATTGGAGTTGGGAGATATACCGTAGGTTCATATTTTCATTGAACCGTGAAACTCACCCAATAACCTTTGTTGGCTCTACACTGTAGAGGTAATGCAGTTTGACACCACTTTCATTGTCATGGCTCAATGCTGTGTGATCCTGGGAGTTGTAGTTTAGTGGGGTACAAGCAATCTTTGGGAAAAAAGGATTTTAACATTTTTATTTTATTTAGTGTGTCAGAAGCCAATTGGGTACAATTATAATGTATTTAAATACACAAACAAAGATTAAAACTTGGCATTATGGTATGTCCTTTGACCAGAAGCTGTCCACTTGGAGTGCCCCTGGTGTTGCTGTGAGAAGGTCCTCCATTCTGCATGTGGCAGGGCTCGGTTGCATTGTAGTAGGTGATCTGTGGTTTGCTCTTCTGCACACTCACATGTTGTGGACTCCACTTTGTAGCCCCATTTCTTAAGGTTAGCTCTGCATCTCATAGTGCCAGAGCCCAGCCTGTTCAGTGCCTTCCAGATCACCAAATCTTCTGTGTGCCCAGGAGGGAGTCTCTCATCTGGTTTCAGCCACTGATTGAGGTTTCGGGTTTTCGCCTGCCACCTTTGGACTCTCGTTTGCTGTGATGTCCCTGCAAATATCTCTGTAGATCTTAGGAAGCTGTTTATTGATTTAAAGCATTGCCATCCTGGCTGATATCCAAACAGAGGATGCCAATGCCTTGGTCCTTTCATTACAGGCTGCTACTTCCCAATAGATGTCAGGTGGTGCTATACCGGCTAAACAGAATAATTTTTCCAGCAATGTTGGGCGTAGACATCCTGTGATAATGTGGCATGTCTCATTAAGAGCCACATCCACTGTTTTAAAGTGGTGTGGATTCCACACTGGGCATGTGTACTCAGCAGCAGAGTAGTAAAGCGCAAGGGCAGATGTCTTCACTACGCCTGGTTGTGATCTCCAGGTTGTGCCAGCCAGCTTTCAAACAATATTATTTCTGGCACCCAATTTTTGCTCGATATTCAAGCAGTGAATCTTGTAAGCCAGAGCATAATCCAGGGTGACTCCCAGGTATTTGGGTGTGCTGCAATGCTCCAGTGGGATTACTTCCCAGGCAATCCTCAGAGCTCAAGATGCTTGTCTGTTCTTAAGATGAAAAGCACACCGTTGTGTTTTAGATGGAATCAGAATCAGCTGGTTTTCCCTGTAATAAGCAGTAAGAGCACCTAAAGCTTCAGAGAGCTTCTGTTCAACCATTCCAAAGCCCCTTGCTTGAGCGGTGATGCCATGATCGTCAGCATATATGAAACTCTCTGTTCCTTCTGGGGCAGAAGGAAGAAAGGGCTAAAGACCTTTTAAAACTACAATTCCATGATTCCATATCATTGAGCTATGGCAGTTAAAGTGTCAGACTGCATTAATTCTACAGCGTAGATGTACTCTTATCTCACTGTTTTCTTGCTAGAATAAATGCAGAGGTGGAGAGCCGAATATTTACTTGGAAGTTACTGTGGATAAATGTCATTGAGAGATAAATAATAAAGGAATATTGAAAGTGATTGTCAACAATGCTTTCAAAGAGAGAAAGAAGTAAAGACGTGTTTTGTGTTGAACTGACTTGTTCAGGTGAATTTCCAAACTCTTTAAAGGAATGAGGTTAAAACTTTCTGTGCATTTTATGGGGCTGTCATTTTAAAAAGGATCTCTCTCTGATAACTGGCATACTTATTACATTTTATTTGCTAGTTTTTGCATTGAACGTAATGTTTGCCTAACTATCAGCAATATCAGCAGATGATTCACTTAAAAATGCACACTCTTGCTACATAATATAACACAGAAGAAAATCTGTGATAGTATAGGGCAAATATACTACAGCACACTTGGTATGCCTCGTGTTAAAATAATATAATAATTACAGAGGATTAAAAATAATAGTACTTCAAATGGTTGGAACATACCATACATCAGTTCACTATAGGGATGCCTTTAAAAAGGCCATATCAAAGTTCACTACACACCAGCCCCATGTTGCTGGTAATGCAAGCTCTTATTTTCTTTAAGAGAATGTTTTGTTATTGTTGGTTTTTGTTTGTTTGTTTTGGAAAATGGTTTCTGTATACAAGCTTCACGGTGTAAGGTTACTTGGCCTGGCCACCAAATTCCTCGGGGCATTTTTCTAGTTATTGAAATGTTATCTTTGAAAGGTGGTGGATCAGGATGAATCGGGATTTTCCAGAGATACGTGATAGAACATGCCAAGTTGAAAATATTCATATCATACTGATTTGGCAATAGTAAATCTTGGAAAAGCTCCTTTTTTGGATCAGCTTGATCACTTGTTTGGCTGGCTGGGGGATTGTGAAGTTGTCTTCCAAGCTTTGGAGAATGTGTGTTATTCAGAAAAGTAGCAATGTTCATTTGTTTCTTTATTGGTCCCAAATACTGTAGTTTTGTCTGGGAGTAGATTAACATCCCATCAGCCTCTTGACTTGTCACTTAACTGCTATTTGGGACTGGCAATTGCATTGAGACCAAAAATCTCACACTTAGAATCATAGAGTTGGAAGAGACCTTGTGGGCCATTTAGTCCAACCCCTTGCCAAGAAGCAGGAAAATTGCATTCAAAGCACCCCCGACAGAGGGCCATCCAGCCTCTTCCCTTTCTGGTATAGTCAAAATTAAACATTGACCCATTAATTACAAACAATTTACTGTTCTTTACATTGTAACCCAAACCTTTATATTTCCTTATGGTAGATCCAGTCCTGAAAATACACAAGCAAATGTCAAAATTTATTCTGCCTCTGTCAGTGGATTATATGCTAATCAATCACAAAATCATGCTTGCTGATCATCTAGGTCTCATTAGGGTTTTTCATGTCACATAGTTATAGGGCTATGATTCCCCTTAAGCTGCCATGGCTACATCTGGTGGAATCCTGGGATTTGTAGTTTTAGGGAGGGGTATTTAGAATTTTCAGCCAGAATGCTCTTAGTGGCTCAAAAGCCTCATTACCCAACAGGACAGAGACATAGTATTTGAAGTGTTTATAGGAAAAGGATTTATTTATTTTAAGAAAAATGTTTCTTATGTACTATTTTTCAGAAAGTTGTCAGAAAGTAAATATGATATGAAGGCTCAATTGTATTTCATATTTAGTGTGACATTTTCTACTACAAGTGCAACTCACTCTCATGTTTTTTAGGCCAGGGCTAGTATGCCAGCTGTTCAAAAGACCACATCCTGAATGTACAAAATGAGAAGCTGGGGACATGATAATAGTAAAGTCCTGGTTTTGATATTTGAAATTCATATTGAGATTTGTAACATAGATCATTTGGGATCTATAGCCAGAATGGCTACTTATTACCATCTTGTGGTGAAGTATGTGAAATGCAGTTTGGATGCCAAACCTGGGACTTTTCATGCACAACGAACTCTAAACTGAAGCAGGAGAATCGGGTCATATTGTAGTAATACATAGAGATAATGGAATGCTTTAGTTCTGAGAAAGAGAAGGAAAGACTGGGGGACATTCAGTAAAACTATTCATGATGTATATATGGAATAACATAATATATCTGCCATTGTGATGGGGAAGAGAGAGTAGAACAGCTCCAGTGTGTATCTACCTATCCATATGTAAAAATATATCAGATACCTCCTTACATGAGTTTAGAGCAGGAACAATTGCTCACTCAACTTGGAGGTATATAAGCATAATGACACTATTTGATTCTGACCTTACATAGCCATTGTATGGGGAAAAACATTTTTAAAACATCCAATTTATCCATTCTTTCTATCTTGAGGGAGGGTATTTTTAATTTTTCTCTGTATTCTGCACTAAGTAGAGGGAGAAAACAAAGGGATATCCATGTTAGAAAACATCTACATCTGATTAAATGGACATTTAGCTACTTCCAGTTTTTATCTTTTACGATTTTTGGCAATTTTTATCAGTTTTCCAGTCTTGTGTGCCCTGTCGTGGATTCTAGGAATGAGAATTTGGCCCATAGGCTCATCAGTTACTCATGATTACTTGAAGCAATCCACTCATGCCAACTTTCCTTATAATGGTCCCATAAAACCAACCACATAATCTAAGGTTTTCTTAAAATATGACAATTTGGATTTTTTCTCTCTTGAGGTCATGGAAGGAGGGATCTTTCACAAACTCAGTTTATTGCATAAAAATATAAATGACATCATATTTTGGTGACTTTATTGGTCCTGGGAATTTGGCTTTGAAGAATGTAATTTTTTTTTGGTGTCAGGAGCAGCTTGAGAAACTTCAAGTTGCTTCTGGTGTGAGATAATTGATAATCTGCAAGGACATTGCCCAGGGGAAACTGAGATGTTTTACCATCCAGAGGCTTCTCTCATGTCCCTGCATGGGAAGCTGGAGCTGACAGACAGGAGTTCACCCCACTCCCCAGATCTGGGATTTGAACTGCCAACCTTTTGGTCAGCAGTTCTGCTGGCACAAGTATTTAACCCATTGCACCACCAGGGACTCCTAAGGATGTAATTATCTAGCCTGACTACAATAGCCTATTCAGAAGATTGGTTGATGTAACTAGATATCCTTTCTGTTATGGAAACTCATTCTAAGGCAGAAGTCCAGATAGTTATTTTTGTGGATTATAACTTCCAGAATCAGCCAGATTCACCTTTGACAATGTAGTCCAACTATAGTCTGAAGTGGTGATAGCTTTTCTAAATACCTGTACTTTTCCAAAAGGATAGTGAAAAAGGTGCTTTTGGTTATCTCTCTATGATTTGACTAAATCTTTCTCTCCCAGTAGAAAAAGAGTCTACATTTCAGTTTTAAGTAGCTATCATGATCACTTTTGTGAGGAAGTTGATTTAAATTGTTATTCAATTTCTCTTAGGACACCTGGGACAAGATTATAATTGGTGATGTGGAAATGAAGCTGATCATGCAGTGCGGCAGGTAAGTTTACTGTTGGCAAAGGGAATAAATAACAAGTTGTTTGATGTTTCTTACAAAATATTTGTTTTCCATCACAGGTGTATTTTGACAACGGTTGACCCAGATAATGGCATCATAGACAGAAAGGAGCCGCTAGAAACACTAAAAAGGTAACACAAGAATAGTTCCTTGTCTGGAAATAAGAGGAAGTAATATTGACACTGCTTATGAAACTAAGACTGAAATCCAGTTGCTAGATGCATTGTATCAGTGGTAAGCACCTGGTAATCCAAAATAAATTTGTGGATTCCATTATTTCAGTGGTTCTAATTTGTAACTGGCTATTGGTCTGAGATAGAACTACAAATTGTCCAGCCCTGTAAATGTTACTGGATTATAACCTACATCAACCATACTTAATTGTGTAGAACTCTGGGGGTTGCAGTCTAAAAACATCTGGAGGGCGATATGGTTCCCACTCTTATCTAAGGCTTCCATGTTGGACACCTTCAATTTCATCCAGATGTCACTGATTTTACTGAGACTTTCTGCTAAGTAAACTTTCAAAGGCCTGGCTTCTATGTGCACAACCACACAGGGTGGAAAATGCGTGCTCTCCTGTGTTTTTACCTGGGGCATCCAGATGACGCCTCAGGTAAAAATGAATTCATTCAGCACAAAGCAGGAAAACCCTGCTTTGTGCTGAAATAATTTGAAATCTAGAAAGACCCGAGTCTTTCCAGCTGTGGGTCTGTGTATTTTGGGTCCGGGGATCGTGTTGCGCGACTTCTGGTCCCAATACACACAGCTGTCTTGGGATTTTTGGGCTCCTGGAACCCAAAAAACCCAACACAGCTCCCCCCTCTCAAAACCCCTTTAGAAGCCTTAAAAAGAAAAAAAAAATCTTTCCTGGTCAGCATTTTCCTGGAGTTGGCCCTCTCCTGGTGCATAAAAATGACATGCCAGGAGAAGTGGGGAGAAGGAGTAAAATTGCTTCCGCTTCCCCCCTTCTCCTGGCATGTCATTTCTATGCACCATGAGAGGGCCAGCAGCAAAGAAATGCCAGCCAAGCAAGTTATTTTTTCTTTTTAGCCTTTTCTGGGGGTTTGTCTTTTGTGTCTTGGTGCCCCCCCAACAAAAGCATGAGCTTTTTAGAGAATGTGTGGACTGTAATGCGGGATCAATTGTGTTTTTTAATCCCGACTGGGCATGCATTAAAGTCCTGTCTGCAACTGCCCTATGTTGCTTCTGATTTTTTAAAGTGGCCTGTATATTTTTGGGTAGAATGTATTTATGATCAGAAGATGCATCTACATTACATAAATCATATTGAGACTACTACAGTATGTTGAAATTCAGAAACAAAATGTGACTTATAATTTGGTTGACAGATTTTTGGCAGGGATTCCCAGTGGGAAGCATATGACTTTAAAAAATGTTTGAAGTGACTTGTAAATTCTCCTGTCTATTGAGACCATCTTCATGTGTGTCCCTGTGGCCCCAGAGATATGTTTCATTGGGATGAGGGAGAGGACCTTTGCCAAGCCTACGATAACAGAGGCTTGCGCCACCATTAATGACCTGGAAATGATTGAAAATACCTCTTTCTAAGAAAAAAAGTCAATTCTTACTTGGTTGTTTTATTTATCTGGTTTTATAGTTTCTGTTCTTTAATAATAACTTTTCCTATTGCTGTTTTCCAGCTAAATCATATTGTTAATCCAAAAGCAATGTTGTTGTGTATCTCCAAGTCATTTCCGATTTGTGGAGACTTGTCATGGGATTTCCTGAGCAAGATTTGTTCAGATAGGGGTTGCCTTTGCCTTCATCTGAAGCTGAGAGAGTATGACTTACCTAAGGTCACCTAGTAGGTTTCCATGGCTGAAGCAGGATTCAAATCCTGGTCTTCCAGAGTCCTAGTTCAGTCCTCAAACAACTTCACCATGATGGATCTCCTAACAAGAGCAGGTTCATTGAATCAGTGAGATCTATTCCTAGAAATAGTTTCAGCAGTTGATTTAGTTGGAACTAAACAATAGGATGCAGTCCATATTCTCCTATTGTTTAAATGTTTAACATTTTCAAATAATCAATTTTAAAATTTTGGTTTTTTTATTCTCAGTTTTGAGCCCTTTTGAGGAAAGTATTTTAAATAAGCAAACAACTGCCTGTGTTACTTAGCCTTCTGACAATATATTTCTTTTTTTTTATGACTTTTGTATGTGTTACTGTTGACGTTTGGCAAGATATCTTGGAAATGGGCTCCAAATCTAAACACGAAAATCATGTATGTTTCCCATGTACCTTGTACACAGTCTGAGGTTAATTTTATACACAGTATTTTAAATAATTTCATATATTAAACAAAGTTTGTGTACATTGAATTATAGAAGGGAAAAGTGTTACAATCTCAGCCAACCATGAGGACAATTTTGGAACATTTCAGATTTCCAGACGAAAGATACTCAACCTGCAATGGGAATATATCTAATACAATATTTGTTTCTGGTAGTGAGCGACAGCATCTGTTTATACAGTGGCAAATTATTTCACTCTTCAATGTCTAGTCTTATTGGTTCATCTGTTCGTTGGGACATGATAGAAGCTTGTGGTGGAGGCTCCTTCTTTGGAAGCTTTTAAACAGAGGCTGGATGACCATCTGTCAGGGGTGATTTGAATGCAATATTCCTGCTTCTTGGCAGGGGGTTGGACTGGATGGCCCATGAGGTCTCTTCCAACTCTTTGATTCTATGATTCTATGATTCCCACAGGATGATAAAACATTCAGGCATCCCCTGGGTAACATCCTTGCAGACGACCAATTCTCTCACACCAGAAGCGACTTGTAGTTTCTCAAGTTCTTCTGACACAGAAAAAAAAATCTGTTTGCTGATTATACATCTATGTTTCAATCTATTTTATTTATTTGTTTAATGTAGATCCTGCCTTTCTACTACTATGAAGCTTAAGGTAGCTTGGAATATATGTTAAAAGCATGCACAACTAAAACAATGGATAATATAAAAGTGAAAAAGTGATTACATAAACCACCATATTGAAAACATAAATCTGAAACTGTTAAAAAGGCATCATTGTAGAGATAAAAGCCCAGCACACCTTCTGCTTTCTCTGACTGCATTTGGATGCAGAACTAATCAAATAACTAATCATTCGCTGACTGGTTGACAGGCCTAATGAAAACATAGAAGATCTCTCAGGTTGCCTTCTTGTAACCTGGCCTGCCCTATGGCAGCATCCATCTACCTTCACTGTAATAAAGCTTGGACGTCTTATGCACAAAGGCAACATCCAGGACTTCACTGAGCCCTTAAGCCATTATAAATATAACTGAGTGTAAACTTTCAAGGGGGGCGCCATAAATTTGGGGAAGGGAAGGTCCTCCACAATCATCCCAAGAGTCCATCTGGCAAATGCAAAGTGCCTTCCATGGCTGCGTGGGGAGAGTTTACTGTGACAGGACACTAAATCTCAGCCCGGTAAATGGTCAAAGAAAAATAATTCTCCAACCACTTTATCTCTGAGATGTCCAAACAGCCAAAGTGGTTCCCACCCCCTGCCCCTCAGTTACTTGACAAGACTGCAGTAGCCATGGAAAATAAATTAAAATGTGGGCAAGATAATTTAAAATCAGTTTTAACTCTTTCAGCTCTCTGCAGGATACATATTCTACTGCACTTGTGGGCAACAAAGGAAGGTCCAGGGGCCACTTTGGGGCCTTCTAGGGGTCACATGGACTACTTAAAAATAATGTAGAAAATCCAAAATGGATGAAAGTCCACTTCTGGTTCTCAAAAACTGATATTTTTAATTTGAAATAGTACCAGAAACCAAAGGGCACATCTGCATTGACCATTTAATGCAGTTTAAAACTGTTGTTGAAGAAAGTGGTTTCACTGTGCAAATTATTATATAGGAAATTATTATATAGGAAATTATTATATAGGAAATCCTAGAACCAGTTTGATGCACATTAAGGACTTTCTTTCACTTGCATTTGTGGATGTTTGTTGTCGGGTCCCTGCAATTTGAAGCTAATTTCAAAACTGTATTAATTGGTCAATGTAGATGGGGACAGAGTGGTGTATTGATTTGAGTGTTGGACTACGATTCTAGACACCAGTGTTGTAATCCCTACTTGGCCATGGAAACCCACAGGTGACCTTGGGCAAATCACATAGGCAAAGGTGAAGCTCCTCTGAGAAAATCTTGTTTAAAAAGCCCAGTAATATGTGTGCCTTAGAGTCAATGTAATATTCAGTGAATTCTTGGTATCGTACCTCCAGAAATAACTTTCCCGTTGCCTGCCACCTCATTCTCTTAGTGTGAGATTCTAGAATTTGTACCTGACATATCAAGAAATACCGTATTTGACTACATAATAGTCACACTTTCAGGTGCGACTATTACGCAGTGGCAACTATTATATGGTGAAAAAAGTGGCTATGGGGCTTCCCTTGGCTGGCAGCCAAGGGAAACCCTGTAGCTCAGAGGAGACAGGCATGCAGGCAGATGAAACCTCACCAGCTAAGTTGAACCCTTCATTCATTCGCATGTGTGATTAAAGGGTGCGACTATTATGCAGGCAACAACAAAAATACCAATTTTGCCTTCCCCAAAATGGGTGTGCGATTTGTATGCGGTGGCAACTATTATGAGTATTTGCTTCTGAGCTATGGCCACTCTTGGAGGGGGAAGTAGATATTTTCTTGAGATGCTCAATGAAATCAACCTCATACCATACATTCATTAACTTTCTTTTCTTCTCTTTCTTTCTTTGGGCAGATATCGTATGTGTGATCCAGCTGATAAACACATTCACAAAACAGCACCATTGTTCGGCAACTATTTTGGTGTAGACAAAGTGGGCACTGTTCATGTTGGAGACCCTGTGTTTAAGATAATTGAATGCTAGAGAGAGAGAGAGAGCAGGGAAGAAGGAAACTCAAGGTTCAGAAGGTTCAATTGTTTTGAAACATTTATCTGTTCAGTAGCTACAATATCAAATAATCATAGCATACAATCCAGCTGAATCTCTCCATTTTAAAGTACCATTGATTTCAGAGGGAGAAATGCATTAATGTTTAAATAGGGCTCCCCTGGGGTGGCTTCCATGATCCTAACCAAGATTGTGTTGTTCCCTTAGGGAGAGAGGAAAAGGAAGATGGAGTTCAGACTGTTTGGGGATTTTTTTCATCTAAGGGACCCAAAGGGGACCCTTCAGTCTACAATCATATTCCAACAAAAGCTTGTTCCTTCCCATTGCATGAAATGTGAAGGAAATAGTATAAAATCCTGCCCACATTTTCCTCCTCTCTTCCCATTTCTCCCACTGCCCCCATTCACACAATCCTGGAGCCAAATTTGGCCCTACTGAGGCTCCTGTCTGCCTTTCTGAGCATTTCCTGGTGTCCATGTCCCCTTCTCCATGACATCCTCATTTGGTAGTGTCTTGGCTTTGTCGTCTAAAGGAATGAACTGCTTGCAATCATGGCTTTACACTCAAATAAGAAGATTTTTGTCTCCCTTGGCCCACTACAATTTGGCCTCTGAAATTACATTGGGTCTTTGGGCTGAGAGTTTTCCTGAACACTTAGCTTAGGCAAAGATGGGAACATTGTGGACCTTGGACCACACATACACCTTGAGAATTCCTTAATGTGCCCCCAAGAGCCCCCCCAAGTCCCTAGACCTGTTAAAAACACCCCAAAGTTGGCCAAATGAGCCCAAAGTAGCTGCAAATGTGGCGGTTACACTGAGTCCCCTCCCAAAGTCTGGAAATATTGCCCCAAAATCCACCAAAATGACTACCAGAAGTGATGTTATGTCACTTCTAGTGTAGATAAGCACACTCTGGTTTGGGATATATTCGTTGCTCCAGCCTCAGGGTACTATGAATTGACAGGTTAGCTTGCTTCGTCATATTACTTAGTTGGGCAAGATTGCGCATACATTGTCTCCTAATTCAGATTGTTTAGACAGAAGTATTTGTATTCTATCTAATGTTAACCAGATAGGTTTTTTCAGTTCTAAAATCCAAAACTGATTTCTCAAGAAATGACTAAAGTATGGTATATGATAAACATTACAAAGAGAGTTTCTATGGCACCTTAAAAGACGAGCACGTCAATTCTAGCAGAAGTTTTGTGAACCAGTGACCATTTTTTCAGAAACATGATGTTAGCTTCAGTTCACAAATACATTTCGTATTGTTTCATTTTTTATCTTTTTTTATGGTGATAAGCCATGGATCATCTGTACACATTTAAAATGAATGAATGAATGAATGAATGAATAAATAAATAAATAACTACACAAATCTGGTGTGTTATATATGTATGTGACACCATAATGGAATATAGGTAGTCCCCAGTTTACAAGCAAGAAACGACCTGTAGGTTTTTTCTTAAATTGAATTTGTTTGTAAGTCAGAACAGGTACATTTTTAAGTGTAACTCCAGTCAAATATATATATATCTTTTAGCTTTGGATAGCATAGGGAAGGATAATCACTCCTGTGGTCTTTGTTTTGCTGTCTGTGTCCCTGTTCAGAAGACTGATTTTTGCTCTTGTGATCATTGGATTTCAAAAAGTGTGGCTTGTTATGGAAACATGGATTGGTGAGAAAGCTTCAGTGGAGACACCTTTTCCCCATGATAACTCTTTAAAGAGTGGATTTTACTTCCCAGGAAATCCACTCTTGAAATATTTCTCTCACATCCTGTTGTTTCACCCTTGTTTGTAACTATGAGCCATTTGTAAGTCAGATGTTTGTAACTCAGGGACTGCCTGTACATAAAGCAGGTTCAGACTAAATGTTTTAGACACATCACAAGAGGAAGACCAACCTGGATGCTTTGATTTTCTGTGATGAATAGTGGAGAATGAGATTGATAATGTGCTTAGTAAGAGCTATTCTTGTTCAGAGGAACAGATGGTCAACATCCAGAAGATTGTTCGGGTTTAATTAATAGCCACATTTAGAAAGAATAGGATTATGTTTAGTTAGTTCCTGTCTTGTATGTTGTTTCAAGCCATTACTGCATTCTTTTTACATTGCAAGCTTAAGTAGATTTACTGAAAAGGATTGTTTTCCAAAGATTATTTTGGAATTAATAAACTTGAATGGGACTAACTCCCTAATAGATATGCTTGGTCAACAATGGGTTTAATGATTTTAATTTATAGTCATATGTTAGTGTTTGGTTATTATGATTTTTTTCTATATACATGTATGTTGACATCGAATTTTTGCCATTAGTATGTTGTAAACCGCATTGAGTTCCTTGCTGGGCTGAGAAAGGTGGTATAGAAATATAGTAAATAAAACATAGTAAGTATATCTAAATACATGAGAGTTATCTCCATTTACTAAATGTGGGTACTTCTGAGCAGAGATATAAGCATTGTACTGTTAGCACCTATGGAACGTGAGAGCTGGACCATAAGGAAGGCTGAGCAAAGGAAGATAGATGCTTTTGAACTCTGGTGTTGGAGGAAAATTCTGAGAGTGCCTTGGATCGCAAGAAGATCCAACCAGTCCAAACTTCAGGAAATAAAGCCCGACTTCTCATTGGAGGGAAGGATATTAGAGGCAAGTATGAAGTACTTTGGCCACATCATGAAAAGACAAGAAAGCTTAGAGAAGACAATGATGCTTGGGAAAATGGAAGAAAAAAGGAAAAGGGGCCAACCAAGGGCAGGATGGATGGATGGTATCCTTGAAGTGACTGCCTTGACTCTGGAGAAGCTGGGGATGGTGACAGCCGACAGGGAGCTCTGGCATGGGCTGGTCCGTGAAGTCACAAAGAGTTGGAAGCGATTGAACAATAAACAACTGTTAGTATCACTTCTAAGAGAAGACTAAGCTTGGATGTCAGCTTTCTTGCAAACTATATGTGTGTGTGTGTGTGTGTGTGTGTACACATACATACATACACTCCATTAATATCCCATCCTCCTCAACCCCTCAGCAGACTCAGGGTGACTTACAACAAAGGCACAATTTGATGCCACTTTTAACATAAAACAAAAACATATATGGTACATTAAACTCAATAATTAAAAACACACAATTTTAAAAACAGTTATAATAAAAAAACCATGCAGTCCAAAGGCATATTCCAGGAGCAATTCCATAAATTGCAGTATTCCATAGTCACCTGTTTTGCAGATCACATAATTGCACTGTAGATTACTGTCCAAAGGCTTGGCCCCATAACCATATCTTCACTTTCTTTCTGAAGGACAGAAGGGAGGGAGCTGATCTAATTTCACTGTAGAGGGAGTTTCACAGCCAAGAGGCTGCCACTGAGAAGGCCCTGTCTCTTGTCCTCACCAATGGTACCTGTGAAGGAAGTTGGACCGAGAGCAGGGCCTACCCAGACAATCTTAATATCTGAGAGGAAGATATGTTTGGATAGGTAAGCTGGGGCTTTATAGGCTAAAGCCAGCACTTTAAATTGTGTTTGGTAGCAGACTGGTTACTGATCATTAACTAAAAAGATGAATGAGTTCTATGGGTAATCAAATGTCTTCTGTTGCAGTTATTTTCTTACTGACAAATCTTCAGGGACAAAACAGTACAGTGGTTGAAGCAAGATGGAGAAATGTGTATGAAAAGCAATTGTGAGCTTCACTTTGCATTCTAAATGATTGGAAAAATGATGTGAAGTCACTGAAGGTTTTATCTTTTGGGCACAAAAGGCCATTTTTCTTTGAGGGTTTGGCTGGTTATTGGGGAGCAAGGAGGTACAATTTAGATATTAGTTTGGCTGTTATTTTACACTGTTTGTTCCTGGTAGTAAAACTGGTTGATTAAAAATATTGTTAAGGGGATCAGGACTTTGGGGGGGGGGGTCTCTTAGGTGTCTTCAAGCGCAACAAAGGCAACAAATTGGTGGTGTTCACTTGAGTCCTGCTGGCCACACTTTCCCCATCAAAACATGACTGAAGGGGGACATGGTGCATCTACACTGTCAAATTAATGCAGTTTGATACCACTTTACTGCTGTGGCTCAATTCTGGGAATTGTTTGGTGAAGCACCAGCACTTTTTGGCAGAGAAGGTGAAAGACCTTATAAAACCTATTTACTCACATAGGCGATACCTTGTAGTCCAAGGATGATGGTCCTCCAAGTGTAGTATCCTGGTGGTGGCTCCGTAGGTGACTGTGGAGCCCTATTCTTGATCTGCATCTTTTCCCACAGTGAGGGCATCGGTTTCCAGGTGGAAGGAGGTCCCGGTCATGGTTGGCTTGAGGCGCCTTCCTCTTGGCACATTTCTTTCTTTCACCCTCAATTCGTGCCTCTTCAAATTCTGCAGCACTGTTGGTCACAGCTGACCTCCAACTGAAATGCTCAAGGGCTAGGGCTTCCCAGTTCTCAGTGTTTATCCCAGAGTTTTAAAGGTTAGCGTTGAGCCTGTCTTTAAATCTGTTTTCCTATCCTTATAAAACTACAACTGTAATGATTCAACAGCATGGAGCCATGGCAATTAAAGCAGTGTCCAACTGTATTAATTCAACAGTGTAGATGTACTTACAGTTCAACTTTTCAGGCAACAATGAATCTTACTGTGTGATTTTGATTTGCTGTGTCAAACTATGAAAAAATGCAAAAACCCAAAAACAAAACAAATCAAAAATACCCTGAGTGTGCTAAAATTGTGGAACAGTCATTAGTGGGTCAGAGGAAACATGCTCAGGGTTAAGTCTACTTTGAGATATCAGTATATTACAGCCCTTATTGCCAAGAGAGTGAGTTCAAGCAAAAGCTCCACTGTATTAATTATTCCTCAACTCAGGTTCTTATTCCTAAGAGCACAATGATACAATCCTGCTCAAAATAGGGCTTCTTAGGAAGCAGAGGTATTGACGATATATATGCTGGGTGGTTGTAGGTTTTTCGGGCTTTATGACCATGTTCTAGAAGCATTCTCTCCTGACGTTTTGCCTGCATCTATGGCAGGCATCCTCAGAAGGATGCCTGCTATAGATGCAGCGGAAACGTCAAGAGAGAGTGCTTCTAGAACATGGCCATACAGTCTGAAAAACCTACAACAATCCAGTGATTCTGACCATGAAAGCCTTCGATGATATTTATGCTGCCGCAGGGATCAGGAGAAAAGGAGAGAAGGCATAAGAATGCAAATTGAGAAGGGCTCCTTTAACTGCACATACAAAATATAATTTATTAGACTCAAGGCGATTAGATCTTTAGCAAAGGCCCAGTGAGATAAAAATACTATGCATTTTCCAGAACTCTGTTGCTAAATGGTTCACTTAAGACCTAAGTGGAATGTCTCGGGCTTAATAAATTATATATATTTAGGCACCTAGAAGTCTCCTTTCCTTTTGTTGAGTAGTTATAAATGAGACATGCAAAAAATGTGAGAATGATGGTCAAGACAAGCATGCTGGAACAAAGCATCATGTGAATCTGCTATTCTTGCTTTGCTGGAGCATTTGAAACGTGAATGGAATTGAATAAAAACGGTCTTGTTAACACTCCATGGGCTTCCTATGACAGCCGCTGGGATCTTCTTTCTTTCTTGGAGTCCTGGTTAGCTTCACTTAGGAAAGCTCTTGGTAAACAACCAGCTAATTGATCGCAGGGCTTTCACATAGCTACCGCCATGTTGCGTTCACGTCTGTGTACCATTCCTGTCATCCTCCTGCCATAACATTGGAGGAATGATTACTTGTTTCTTGGAGATTCTTCTGTGGGCCTAGTTGCCAAGACCAAAGCTGTAATGGTTTGTTATGATGACCTTTTGTTATTCCATTAGAGCTCAATTGCTTGGAGAGAGAGGGAGGGGGAAAAACCCAATGTGTGCATACTGTAGGAAAGTTTTCACCCTTTCCATTGACCTGACATCACAGTTTATACTAGAAAATGTATTAATGACAAAGTAGTGTTTTCATGTCAGGAGAACCGACTTTAACAGCTATAATCTGCCCTTAGTCGTCATAAATATAAATGTATTGGTAAAACAGATCTTGTTAATGCAGCCAAGAAAAATGCTAGGCTATATTTCAAACCAATTGAAGCACATAGTGTGTCTCTGTGTGTGAGAGTGAGTGTGTAAAAGAAAGAGAGACAGAGAGACAGAGATGTGTGAGTCAGCTAAAACACACCATTGACAAAT